TTGGTTAAAAATTAAATTCTGAGATATCAGAATAATGAATTGGATTTTTTTTTGGTAAAACTTTGAAGTCTTTATGATTAAATGAACTGTGTAGTGTCGCTCTTAAGAAAGTAAAGGTGGAGGTACATAAAGTGATTAAATAAAATGTTCATTTCAAATTTGCCATTAATTTATGCTTCAAATAATTATAAGAATGTACTAAAAGAAAAAAATATACTAAAACCTCCTAAGATAATAAATAATATATCATGGGTAAAATCAATAGGGTCTGGTGCAAAGAGCACTGAATGAGGAATTGGAAAATGAGTTGGCCAAGGGCTACTGTTTGCTTTCCTATAAAATGGGAGAGGTGGATAATATCAACATTTCCAAAAAGTGTTTTATGTTGCATTCATTCTGTGAAGTGATTTTTGTGGGATAAGATGAGGGAGTCCTGTGCCAAAGTAATTCTGTGAACCTCAGTGAACTACCTCCACATTTTCAGATAAGCAAAGTGTACATTATCAGCATGGTATGTGCTATGAGAAGACTTCTAGGAGCAATGTGCCTGGATAATCTCATTTGGCACATTATTTCCCATATTTAGGTGACCCTTGAACTACTTCCTTTTGCATAGCACATGGTAACACCTTATACATAGTTGGGTAGATGATTGCTTACATCCCCTCAGTGATTAATCTACATGATTCTCAGTCCTGGATTTACTTCCTCCACAGAGTTAATCTTACTCCTCCTGCTTTCTTCAGTTTAGGATACAATTTAAATATTCCATTCTATTTTCCTTTCTCTTAAGGACACCATAAAATCTAATAACACCTCATATTTCAGAAATTTCCATGCAGCTGAAAAAATTTGAGTTATCTGATAGGGTTAAAAAAAGTATTTACTGTTATTCAATTGCATTTTCCCTTTCTTTTTCTTCTTATTAGCTTGGTCACACCAAGGTCTTATTTTTGGAGCCAAAGATACTCTTCAATAATAGCCCTCAAGGTTTAACAACATGGAAGAAAGTCGTACTTCACAATGTAGGACAAAACCATGCTTATTTCAAGGTGATGTATCTTGGAATTGAATCTAGATCAGATCACATTATAATTTGAATTATTTTTTTCTTTACCATGAATACAGTGGCATTAATACTTTAGTGTTTGTAAATTTGCTAAGGCTAATATTTAGACATTTTATATGAGATTTATCTGTGTACATTTTATCTACTTTGTTCTTCTAATTTCCCATAAATTTCATTTCTCCCTCCTTTTCTTACTTTTCCCCTTCTCCTCTTACCCTTTTTTCTATGATTTTGATTTATTGAAAAAAAGATAGCTGATTTGAAGAAAACATTTAAAAAACATACTTTGTTGATGTTACATTCCATATTTAATTACATGCTTTTCCTTTTCTCCTCATTTTCACTCTGTCATCAGGACTGTTATGGTAGCAATTGGGACCTCGATCAAGACCATTCTAAAGATACTATATTTTTAGTTGCTGCTCCTGGGAAGTGGGAGTGTATAAAATGGTGATAGTTTTTTTTTTTTTTTTAACTATTAAAATCTCCCAATAGTGATAATAGGTATTTGAGATCTTTCATTCAAGCTTTATATTTACATGTCTTATTTGGCTTGAATAAGCAAATGAGAATACCCTTTTCTACTTTATTGCTTCAGAATTAGTTGTGAAAGCTATTTGTTCCCTCCTCCCCAAAAATACCTTAACCAATTTCCCTATAAATTATTCTGGCTTAAAGCCTGGTAGATAGACCTAAATTGGCCTCTGACAAACCACACCATAAATCCTATGGTAAGTTACTTTTTTCGAATGTCAAAAATGATAGCTTAGACATCAGACTATCAAAGAAATAATAAAGAATAGGAGGATACTTTGTCATCTTGCCTCCCTACTAACTTTGCTTTTAGTTTTTAGGATCAGGGAAAAGGCAAATCATCAAAGTAGTGTGTAGAACTTTGGCATCTTCTTTAAGAGTTATATCTCATCTTCGTAAATTTTGTAGAATCTTGGAAACACTTAAGACTAAAAACGTCATCTTCCTATTTGAATTGGAGGGTGCCACTAAATGTTTTGTCTGCTGGGTTATGGGTGCAGATCCTTCTTGAAGTTCAAATTATATGTGTGTCTGATCTTTGAAATTCGATGACAAAATCATCTCATCCTCTGTGCCTGGGTGTCCTCTCTCTAGGTAGTAGTTTGGAAGCTTTTCTGTGAAAGCTTTGGAACAGTAACTTGAAAGGATAATGTAGCACATCTGCAAATTTTCAATTACAGATTTGTGACCAGAGTCTTTTGTCTACCATTAATATCATTCCATCAGAAGGAATAATTCCATTTGGGGGGCTAACTGTGCTCAATATCTCCTGTACACCTACCATGGCGGAAAAATTTGAAACAAAAGCAAAGGTATGCTTGTACATATGTGTGTTGGTACTGTATATATGTCTGTGGATCTGTTTAGTTTTTTAAGATATTTGTAGTAATACATATAATGCTGTAAAATGTACACATATTTATTTTTAGAGAACTCGTCGTAATGGTTTCTACTAATGAAAATAGGTTTCAATGTTATGATACTAAAGAGTAATTTTTAAAATTTCTGTTGTTTTTCTAGCAGTTGAGTTAGCTCTAAAGAAGTACAATTTTTAGAGACCTAAAAAAGAAGCAACCTTACCTATATCATCTATTATAAAAATGGTTAGCAAGAGGATTTGTAGAAAAATTTTTGGTGAAAGTTGGAAATTTCTACTAAGTTGAAATAGATGGATACCTTTCATCAATATGAAACATTTTTCAAATGAAATTGAAATGATATTTGGTGTCCCTAACTTGTGACAAGCCCTCACTAGTCATAGTGCCAAGGTTTTGTTTTTTCATGGCATTAATTAGATACCTTAGGAAAAAATAATCAATTTTGTAATGCTAATTCTAAATAGCTTTAATGACTATATGAATTATAGGCAAATTCAATATGACATTAACACTTATATTTTATAGCACACACCAAATGTTTTACTATTTTATATTCTGGGAATTAGGTAAATGAAAAGATACTACCTTGATTTTAGGAACATCTCTGTGTTCAATAAACAGATAAATAAAATGTGAAACATCAATCTGTAATTTTTTTTATTATAAACTCATGGAATAGAATACTCTTGATCTTCAATCTGATGATCAACTGTGTGCATTCACTCACGTCAAAAAATAATATGTACACTGTCGTCAGGTCAAAATGAATAGCTTTAGGTGTATCCCCCATTTTATCCTTCAGTTTCCCATAACAGTTTTTAAATAATATGTAGCTTAATGTAATAAATGCCAATTTGCCTGGCTCCAAAATAAATTACCTAAGAAGCATATCTTACATCTATAAAGAAATATGTTTCGAAAGATGTTTATAAACTATATATTGTGGTAAATCGCCTGAGATTTGAGCAGAATTTTTTTACATAGTATTCTGGAAAAAGTAAAAAATTATGGCTACTAAGTACAGATTTTACTAAAAGATTAATCCTTGCTATATTTTAGAGGAGTATGCTGTTTTTACAAATCTTACTTTTTTAAGATGCTAAGGATGCAAGATCGAACAAGGAATTATGTAACTAAATTCTTATTTCACTATCTTAATTTTCTTGGAAACGGTTGAGTGTTCAGGTAGTCCTTCGTTCAAATTTTGCTGCTACTTCTTTTAAGTTTGTGACCTCAAGAAAAAGACAAAATACTTGGCCCTTCTAAGCCTTAATTTTCCTCACTTGGCAGTTAGGGTATTAATAGTAGTGACCTCGCAGAATACTGAAGATTAAAAAGGAGGTAATGTATTTAGCTCCATAGCTGGCTGCTCTCATTATAGTCATTGTGGATATTAGTATCATTCTATGGGAAGAAGTGTGTTTGTATTCAGTTTTCTATTTGTTTTAATTTTAATAATCCATTGAAATTAGATAAATACAAAAGGGCTGCAGAGAGTTTGAGGCAATGATGTCAAGTCAAATGGGTAGAACTCTGCAATCAAATTCACAAGCTGTCAGTTGATCGCATTTGTGGTGGAGGTTTTTAAGAATTGAACACTTTACTCCTTTTAGGAATATCGATTCTGCATAATAAGAAATGTGATAATAAAACTGTCAGAATAAATCTCGTGACATTTATAATATGCTTATTTAAATTATAAAATGTTATATGCCAGGTTATACTTCAGCAGTATATGAGTATATTTTAATGTAGTTTTAACAGAGTTTTATATTTCTCCTAAATTAGGTTATTATTCACCGTGCAAATGACATACACCTTAAGATTGGTGGAACTGTTGAAATTGCTGATATTGAAATCATTCCGGTGAGTGTGTTACCTATTCGTGTAGTAATTTATGAGTGTGGTATTTTTTATTTGTTATGTGTCCTTAGCCCATTTGTGTTTAAAAAATTCATTATGTAATAATTTGACGTAAATTAATATATGTTATCTAAATAAGTCTTGAAGCAGAATATTAAATAAAGCTTTAAGAATTCACCACTGAAAATAAGTTTCAGAACTCAACCAGTTCATTAAGCCATCTGTAGTCTTCATCATGATCCTACTCTTTTTAGGAGATAACCACTTAACTGAATTTTGTGATTATTATCCCTTTACTTTTTCTAATTAGGTTACCACATATGTATGACTTCCTTAACCATTCATTATTTAGTTTAGTTTGTTCATTTTTGGACTTTATAACAAAAACCAACTGTCTTTGGTGTGTTGCTTTTAATTGAATATTGTGTTTCCAAAGTTTATCTAAGTTGTGTATGGCTGTATTTTATTCATTATTACTGGTGTTTAATATTCCATTGTATATTCATACTATAATTTATAGATTCATTTTGTTGTCCATCAGTTAGGTGTTCCCGGGTTTTTTTTTTTTTGCTGTTGTTATTACAAAGACCATAACTACGAGCATTCATATACATATCTTAGGTACATATGCAAGAGTTTCTTAAGGAGTGAAGTTGCTGAGACATCGAGCATTTGAATGTTTGACTCCACAAGATAATTTCCATATATTTTCCTCTAGTTTCCATTGATCCACATTCCAATTCTCCATAAATTACATTGTAAGGCTTAATGTTTGCCAATATGTTAAGTATAAAATGATATCTCACTGTGGTTTTGACTTATACTTTCTAAACTATAATCATTTATTTTTTATTCTGTGTCCTGATAAAATTTTGTTCTATAACTGATAGAGTGCATACACATACGTTTTTCTTTTTTCTTTTTTTTGCCAGCCTTTTCAGGAATTAGATCTGGTCTCATTTACCTTAAGAAACTTCTCCTGATCCTTCAAAGCAGGCCCATATGCCCCTCCATTGTGACATTTATAAGATATTACAAACATCTTAAACTCTGGGAACACCTTCATTATAGCGATTGTCATATTAGTTTCAGGTTATCCACCCTTTTGTTTTTCTCTTTCAGTAGTATCTCAGCACCAAGCACCATTCTGGTGCTCAACTAAATTGAGCAGAAATTGATGAGGTTTTAGGTTGCCTCAGGTAGGGCCTTACTACTCATCTGCATTTAATTGCATCACCACAATTCTAGGGTCTGGCTTTAAGTTATAATTTTCTAACCTTTATTTTATTCAGTATTGCAGGCATGCTAAGTTCAGATAGACTGACAGATACTGAGCTAGCTTATCTAGGTCTGTGGTGACTCCTAGAGATTATTCCATTGCTATGGTGTCCCTCCTTGAACAATATTAGACAAGTATTGAGACTTTTTTACAACTAAGTAATTGATAGCACTTTACATTAATATATTGATCAATATTTCCTAATTATGTTGGATTTTAAACATAGCTGCCTAGCTACCTTTTAAAAATAATATTTTAGTATCATCAGATATTGTCAGCAATATATTTAATATGTATATGGCATTCACTGTGTGTTAACAATTAGGAAATTTTATCCAAATGAACACATGGGCACGGCCAGAATGGGATAAGAGGAGTGATTTTTTTTGCATATACAAACCATCAAACTTTCATTACCCATATTAGATTTTACAAATTTCATCTGTACAACCAGGTTGATATTTTAAGTGAAACAGAAAGTGGCCAGTTGACCTTAATGAAGTATTTTCTTTAACATTAGGATACTATTTCCTCTTTCTCTTTTAATGTTATATGTAATTCTTTTGCTAAGGAACTGTAAGGTATGTATAATAACTACCAGAAGGAGGAATCCTACAGAGTTTTGTGTATAGGCATATGCCTGGAATATAAGCTAAAGTCAAGATACATTCAGTAAATGTCCCATATATATTTTGGCTAAGTGTTAGGTGCTAGGGATACAAAATGAATCAGGCTTAAGGTCCACTAGGAAAGACAGATATGTAAACAAATAAATGGACTTCATTATGTCATAATGTAAGTAAATATAAGGAACAGAAATAGTCCCGAGCAGTGTAATTAATTGTGGTTTATCTAATTTGGGTTTGAAGGAGGCATAATATTTCATCAGGCAGTCATAAATTAGAGAAAAGCCTTCCTGATAGAAGGGGCACCTAGATAAAGGCATGGAAGGGTGAAGTGTCAGCCATTGGTTAGAAATGAAAAGTCATACAGCTTGTTGAAGTATGAAGTGATGGGGTGAGAATGAAGCTAGGTGAGGCTGGAGCATGAGGCAGGAGAAAGTCATGGTGAATTTTATGAGCCCTGCTAATGAACTTGGACATTCTTCTGTAGATGGAGGAGGATCATCAAATTTTAAGACAGGAAGTTATATGCTCAGATTTTCAGTAAGTTTAATTGTGGCTTAGTTTTGGAGGGGAGAATTGGAGAACGTCAGAATCTAGAAAAAAAAATGAAACTGATGAGTCATTAGCATCATACAATTACATTAAAGATAAGAAATGAAGGACACAGAATTAATTGGATTTGGTAACTGATTATATATAGAAGGTCGGGGGAGGAAGGAAAATGTGACTAATTGTTATAGAGTACCCTAGTTTATGTCTTTGATGAACATAATAGTATAATTTTTTAAGTATTTTATTTTATTAGTTTCAACAACAATATAATTTTTTTATTGAGGTATAATTGACATAAAATATTATGTTAGTTTCAGGTGTACAGCATAATAATTTGATATTTGTATATGTCGCAAAATGATCACAATAAGTCTAATTAACATCTGTCACTAAACAGTTACAATTTTTTTCTCTTGTGATGAGTACTTTTAAGATCTTTCTTACAATATAATTTTTAGTTTACATTATTCTCATAAGCGATTACTCTACTTTCTAATTATTACTTTTTTTAAATTTTAGGATGTATTTATCTTCAGTGGCACCTATGTTGGCGCTATCCAGGTTATCCCATTTTTAATAAAAAATAAAGGTGTAACACGTGCCAGAGTGGAATTTAATCTAGAAGACTTCGAATATTTTTCAATGGAACTTAAAGACAAATCAAGTATATATTTTATACTATAATGATATTATTGTAAAAGTGAAACAGTTTTTAAGTTGTACAGAAGTATAATGCTAAGAAAATATTATAAGTCAAGGGCAGTTATTCTTGGCTACTTTTAATGATTCAGTGCACATTTTTCTTATACTGTATAACCTATCATGGTTTTATTTCTAGAAATACATCAGTATTAATGTCATAACACTTTGGTAAGGCATGACATAACTGTACTTATTAGTTGATTTAATATAGGTAAGTTAGGTATGTAATATATAAATGTATACTATAAATGCAAATAAAATTATTAATTGCTAGTTTTAATTGCTCATGAATTCAGATAAATGTCCTTGGAGAGCTCTCTCTATATGTTTATTCATTTGTTAGGTATTTTTATGTTAAATTACATTTTTAAAAATATGTATTTTTATAAATACATTTCATTTGTTTACTCTAGGGGTTGGCAAATCAAGGTCTGAGGGCCAATTCTGGCCTGACACCGGTTTTTATAAATAGTTTGATTAGAACACAGACACACTCATTCGTTTGTATATTGTTTATGGCTGCATGCCTGCTATAATGGTAGAGTTGAATAGTTGTGTTAGAAACCATTTGACTTGTAAAACCTAAAATACTTACTATCCGGACCTGTACAAAAAAACTTTGCTGAGCATTGGTTTAGTCATTTCTTCTTCAATAAATATTGTTGAATAGCAATTATAGGCTAGATACTAGGCTTTGAGTCTATAAAGATAATAAGATATCTTACCTCTTCTCAAGAAATGAACTGTAAGTTTATTAATTAGGGTCTCTGTAGGAAACAGATGACTCACTAAAAGGGTTTAACTGAAGAGGGTTTAATAAAAGAATTACCTATGGACATGCAAGCCAGGTTAAAAGAAACCAACAAGGGATGGAAGGCACTACTACTTCAAGGTCTGAAGGAGCAAGAAGAGGCAAGATATTTTTGGAGCCCTGGGCATAAATACCTCTTACCCTCGCATATCCTGCTGTTGTCTCTCTGTAGTTGAACCAAAAGCAGAAGCAGAAGAGCAAGGGGTTCTAGCTGAATCAGTCTGTAGAGGTCAGGACAGAGCAGAGCAGAGAAAGAAGGCTGTTGAATCTAAGTAATAAATGGAGACCACCTATTAGCAGTAGGTGAGATGGACAAAGAATCACATTATGGCCACATAGCATGACAAATGCTATAAGACAAGTCAGTGCGTGGTGCTAAGGGAGCATATACTAGGGAAGACTAGCCAAGAACCAGCAATAAGGAAAGATAATTTGGAGAATTTGATGCATAATCTGAGTCTCGAAGAGTGAAGAGGAGATACACAAGAAAAGGCTATATGTGAAAGGATTCAAGGAAAGGCCTAGAAATGAGTCAATATGTTAAGTAGTTCGGTATATATAGAGCATAGGGGGACAGGACTGGAGAGGCAAGTGCAACCCAGGTTACTAAAGGTCTTTTTGGAATTTTATCCTAGATGTTGGGCAGCACTGTTAAAGGATTTATAACAGGCAGTGGTATGATTAGGCTCACATTTTACTAATTTTCCTGTTGGAGCAAGGTTGAGAATGGGCTGGGGCAAAAGGTGGGGATAGGAAGGGCAAGACCAGAGACAGGGAGAAGTGATGAGAGCCTGAACTCAGGCAGCAATGCTGGGGATGAGAAGGAGGAGAGCACAAAGGGACTGAGAATTTAGAAATGCTGTGACTTGGTTATCAAGTGCACATGGGTATTAGGGAAGAGGAGAAAGCCTCAAATCACTCCTGGGTTTTAACTCTAAGAGGTAGGTGACTGGATGTGCAATTTGTAGTTGATGTAACTCTGGAGAAGCAGGTTTAGATGAGTGTCCTGTGTTTGAGGAGACTGTGGAAGAGCCCAGGAATGATAACAGTAGGCAGTTGGAAAATACATTTGAAATCTGTATTCATTTTTTTTTAAAAAATTGAATATTGAAACGTTAGTTGCTTTAACACTTCACACTCACTGGCTGCCCCATATACTCTCATGTACCTTGTTCAGTGGATCATAGACTCTTCTTGGTTATCCTGCAATGTGCCTTTCTTTCCACAATTCTGCTTTAGCCCTAGCTCCAGCCTTCCCTCAAGGCCAGGGGTCCCCAACTCCCAGGCTGCAGACCGGTAACGGTCTGTAGCTTGTTAGGAACCAGGCTGCACAGTAGGTGAGCAGTGGGCGAGCAAGCAAAGCTTCATCTGTATCTTCAGCTGCTCCCCAGCGCTAGCATCATCGCCTCAGCTCCACCTCAGATCATCAGGCATTAGACTCTTATAGAAGCACCTATCCCTGGTGCCAAAAAGATTGGGGACTGCTGCTCTAGGCCATTGTATCATCTTTTCAAATGCTTTCTCTGCTTCCAAGCTTTCCTTCTCGTACTTAATCCAGAGACTGGCCTCCTTAAAGATTTTATCAAACCTCTTCTGTGTTTTAAAAGCTTTGCTGATTCCCTATGACCAATAGTGGTGGTTCTTATCAGCCTGCTGCTGACAGTCTAGGAGGTACATAGGTTGGTCTTAATAATTATTAACAATTTGCAATAAAGTTTATACTTAAAATGCTCTGATAATGTATCTTATTATTGTAAATGTTTGAACACATAAATTGCCCTCCGTTGACAAATTAGAGTTGGTTTTTCACATGATGGTTTTGGGATTATTTGATAGGACGAACTTATGGGAGAGGAAAAGTTGAGATACATTTGAGTATGACTTCAGCTTGTCCTTCCAGTCACCTCTCCATTACAGGCTCCATCAGTTCTCTCTGCTGTGGCCAGATTCTGTTCTTCCTCCCAATGGTGCTGGGCTTCTTTTCTCCTAGGATGCTTCCTCCTCTTCTGTCTCTGGTGCCTGAGATCCCACCCTTTTTTATAAATTAGCTTCAACCTCTTGAGTCCTATGAGTCATTAATCCCATCCCCATCCCTGTCAGTTGGTTGAAATTATTATTTTTTAATCTTTTCTCCCTTAGGTTATTGTGTAAGTTTTATTACAGCACTAACCAATTCCCACGTTGTATCAAAGGGTTGTGTACCCGTTTGTCTCCCCTAGTACGTTGTGAGCTCCACGAGGTCAAGGAGGACATTTATGGTTTTTGTTTTCTACTATAGTTGTCCAGTTTAGTGCTATGTACATCATTGGCACTCAAGAAATATTTATTGAAGCTATCTTGGATTATTGCATTTCACAAACTATATGTTTATATGTACTCCAAATATAATTATGAATATTTATTTATCTATCTGTGTTATATTTTCCATATTCTACACATATATCCATTTTAGGTGGATATTCTTTGCTGTATAATAGGTATATCAATTCCCACGCCACCAACAATACTTGTATTAATATAAACTTAATGGGGTGTTTTGTTTGTTTATTGGTTTTCTACATTATGCACCAAGATGAGTGAAATTGAGTAGGATGAAGGAAGGTAAAATGAGCTGTTGATGTTCATTGCCAGAGAGGGATAATTGAAATTATCATCATTCCTTGGGGGTAATCAGAAAACTCTAGGGATAAAAAAGGATTGTTAGAATTGCTTAGATGAGGACAGAGGTTCTACTCTAACATTAGATCTTTGAGGAACTTCTTTTAGTAGAAGTTAATTTAAGTGGTTATAATTTTTGAACCTGAAGTTTGCATTACTGTTCGACAATTGTTTCTGTATCTCCACCCACTGCTTTTGTATCTGGAGGGATTTTATTTTGTTAAAAAGTTTCCATGTATAAAATTGTTTTTCTATTCTTCATGGACTCTTTAAGGCATCAGGGAAGGTCTGTGTCTTCCCTGATCCATCTTCACTGGAGAGGGTGTCTCCCCACTTTCTCAGACCTAAGACTCAGTCAGTTACTTGACCTTGACCTTTATTCCTTTCCACATTCATCAGAATAGGGCTGCGATTTGCTTCTTGAACTTTGGAGATTAAAAAAAAAAATGGGTTTACTGTCTGTTTTGCTGATTGAATGTATGATTGTTCCATGTTTGGATATCGGTTTCGCTGATTAGAATCCTGGTATTAAGAGCCACTCTTTAACCCAGCAAACTCACCCAGCCCTGCACACATATTTCAGCAACTGCTTTTTTATTGTTATGAACATATTTACGAGGTTTTTCAGTGTTTCATTTCCACATGTAACAATAGTATTATAGATTTGCATCTGGCTCTTTTTTTTTTTTTTTACATATACTTTTTTCTGTCTTACAGAGGAATTCACAGACTCTGCATTTCCTGACATATATTTTTTTGAGTTAGAGGAAAAAACATCTCTGGAATGTGGCCTAGTGTTTTCTCCTAAAGAAGTAAGTTCAACTTTCTATTACTGATATTACTGGAGAGTGGCAGAGTTACAGATAATCCTAACCAAAAAGCTATTAAAGATTACCTAAGCTCTTTTTGCAGTGGGTCTTTTTCTCACTTGTGAGCATGCCTGGCTATACCCTTTAGTTCTTTAAAATGATTGCTAAAGGTGTCTGGTTCATATTTGCAGAGTGTCTCAACAACATAACACACAAGGAACCTATATAGGCTTGTGGTCCCTGTTATGCTCTCTAGAAAACTTAAGATATGACATGTTATAAAGGAGAGAGAAGTTGAGGCTTACCCCAAAATCCCTTATATTTGAGCCAGCATGTGCTTTGTATTTATCTTCAAGTAGGGTATGCTTAATGCTCTTGGAATCACTACCTGAAATACTGTAGATGTGCTGTGAAGATTTGAGAGGAGTTATAATACTGGTTCGTTTTATAGTGTCCCTTGATGTTTAGTGATTTAAAACTACAACAAAAATAATAAACAAACAAAATCAAAGAAAACACCTTTCCTGGAATGTGCCAGGGGAAAGGGTACCACTGGCAAAATTTCAGAGGTAATCTCTGATATGTTTTTGCTTCAGAGGTTCTGCAACAAGTGATAAAGAGAGAGCTTCTCACTACCCATGATATGGAAAGGCATGTTGCTATATCCTCTTAAACAAGAATCAAACTTCTATATGGCAATTAGTGTATGATTCTTACGTCAAAACATTTTATGTATTCCAACATAATTAGCATGATGCCTTGAACTAAGGATTAATTTTTCCTTCTTAAGTACGTTAGTTGGGATGTTTTTTGGGTTTCATGCACATGTGAGTCACATAGAATGATATTGTTTACAGAGTTGCCTCTTGTGTCTGTTCTAGTTTTAGCAAGCATAGTAGATGAGGTAGCCAAGGCTGCTTTTCTACAATTAAAGAAAATGAAAATTCTTTTATCTTATATACAACATTAAGTGTGCTCAGATGTATACTATACTGTATTCAATTTCCATAGGTTCAGTGTAAAGTAATTATTCACCTAGATTAATGAACAAAGATATTTAGATAGATACTATTTAGCAAGGTTATCGAAAAGAAAGTACATTTTTGCTTTTTTTGAAAATCATCTTATGGTGATTTTTCTTTGGCCTAATTTAGGCTCTCGGATAATGTCAGAATATAAATATTATTTAGATTTTCCTTTTATCTTTTGAATGAAGGATTTTGAAGTGCGTAATATTATCAAGGTGTTACAGTTATTCGTTGAATAATGCAATCTCTAACTTGTCTTTCTCATTCAGACAGAAAGCATAATTATTTGAAGAGATTCAGAGGATGTCATCTTTTTTAATTTTTAGAGTATCCTAATATATTTCGAAGCCACAACTTTCACATATTCTAACCAATTGCAAGTTTTGTCAGTATAGACTTGGAATCTTGCGTATCAGTGGTATTCTCTTCCTGATTTTTAAAGTTTATTGCCAAAATTAAATGGGAAGTTTAGAAATGTAGAAAGAAAATCTAAGCAATAAATAAATTATACTTAACAATGACCCCTGGTTATATTTTGGAATATCTCTGTTTTTCTCCCTTTCCCTCTCACTATACCTATATTTCTACATCTGTAATTGTAATGAAATAATACTTTATGAACTATTTTTAACCTCTATTTTTTTTACCAGGTATATCAATTAAAGTGTTATAATCGCTTTTGTATTATTAAGCATTCTAAATATAATTTTATTTTTTAGGGATAATATATTGTATTATTTTATGACTATACTCTGTTATAGTTACTTAACTAATCCTTACTGTACTCTTAAGATTTTTCATTTTGAGAGGCTTTATAATTGATACTGTAAGAAATGTCCTTGTAGGTAAAAGTTAGCTTTCACATTGTATGTTTTCTTTGTATCTTCCTAGAAGTGCAATAGTTGGGTCAAACTCTATACACATAATTTAGACTGTTAATTTGTATTGCCAAATTGCTCTCCGAAAAGGTTAGGCCAGTTATATTACCTGCCAGTAACAGTGTAAAAATGTTGCTCATTTTCTTCTATCTTTGTGTGAGATGGATAGATGATAGATAGATAGATAGATAGATAGATAGATAGATAGATAGATAGATAGATATATATATATCTCTCACACAAAGATAGATATCTATATCTATATCTATATCTATATCTATATCTATATCTATATAGGTGAAAGATGCATTTTAATGCATTTCTCTGATTCTTCTTGAGTAACAAACCACCCTACAACAGTAATGACTTAT